GAGAGAGAGAGAGAGAGAGAGAGAGAGAGAGAGAGGGAGAGAGAGAGAGTGCGCACAAAGCCTAATCTCAAAACAAACAAATAAACAACCAAAAATAAGCAACCTGATTCTGTTCATAGCCACACAGAGGGTAGGAGGACAAGGACATGTCATCCACTCAATATGTGACTTGACACATAAGGATTATTTGAACTGAAGTCAACTGAGAACCAACAAATTCAAGAAGAGTTTCTGCCCTCTCCTTATCTCCCTAAATATAGCATGAATTTCTACTTTTGAACACGTGCGCGCGCGCACACACACACACACACACACACACACACGTACATGATTCATCACCAGAGCTGATGATGCTCCCTCCAACAAACAGCCTACTAAATAACTCAAAGGTCTTGCATCCTAGGTCTTTTGTCACTGTCTTCATATCCATTCCATCTCTCTCTTAAGACTCCCCTTCCTGGAAGTTTGTCCCAGTGGCTTAGTCACTGTAAATGGCTACTTTAAGTTACCATACTCTCTCTTCTCGACTTTGTTTTGTCTCTGAATTTCACCCCTTAATCCCCATCTTCCCTCATCATCTCGATTCATTCTCTCTTTCTGTAAGGTCACGATCTATCAGTTTAGAACCCCCATCTATCACCCCAAATCTGCTCACATGGCATTATCACTATCAAACCTTCCTTGTCTCATACAGAGGAAAGTATTAAATGGAGTGCTGATCTTTTCCAACTTACAATTTTAGTGACTGCTTCTCCTGAATGGTAATCAGCTGAAGAATTAGAACTACCAGCTCAGATGTTTTGCTTTTCCCATTGTTGCTAATACATGCCTCATTTACATGAAGTATTCAATAAATACATGGTCAAGTGATCTGCTATTTATACGGTCATTCACTTGTTAATTTAACAAAATCATAAATACTACATGTTCAAAAAACTACAAATGCCCAGAAACTTCCTCAGAAGTTTCTTCTGTACATTTGACACCAACTTGTTGGTGCATGGAAAAAAAAATCTTTGTCAAGATACAGAAGATACAAAAGCAGGAAAAACCAATTCTGTGAAATTTGCTGGCATTCTTCCTATCAGCAAATAACAAAAAGTTCCTGAGTTTAAAAAGACATTTCAAAATATTGTGCAATATCATGTAAGTATCTGAAGTCACAAGTCATAAAAATGTGTATTCCTATTCTTAGCATTCAGAGTTAAGACTTAAAAGTCTAAGCTGTGAGGTTTACTTCTATGTTTACTTCTATGAAACTAAATTATCATCTTGTTCACAAGGATAAATGCTTGTAATTAGCTCAAGATTTTGCAAAAGCATGAGATACAGTGGAAAAGAGACTATATCCAGGACTCAATCAGGTGAAAGAATATGGAATATGTTTTTACACAGACACTTGGTAAAAGCAAATATTTAAAATAAATTCTTGTCTATGAAATGTATATTTTATATGTGGTTCCTGTATTATATTTCTTTATAAGCACACACACACACCCCATATATGACATAAACATTATACACATATATTCACATCAAAGGATATTTCATCAGAAGTCATCTCTACAGTAAATACTAGATTATCTGACTTATACAACACTTGACATATATTTTTCATCCCAAGTCCCTGACATTTACACCACTTTATTACTCTGTGTGTGTGTGTGTGTGTATAGGGTTGGAATTAAGGGCCTGGGTGTTGTTTTTTAGCTTCTTCAGTCAAGGGTAGCACTCTACTACTTGAGCCACAGCTCTAATTTCAGCTGTTTGGTGGTTAGTTGGAGATAAGAATCTCATAGCCTTTCCTGCCCAGGATGTCTTCTAACCATGATCCTCATCTCAGCTTCCTGAATAGCTAGGATTACAGGTATGAGCCACTGATATCAGGCTCCATTACCTTAGTTTATGGAGCAGTATGCTTTGTCTGGTGAAAACTCTGGTTATTGCATTTGGGCTCAAACAAATTTCATTTTCTTGACTTTGTGTTTTTTACTCTCATTTTGCTGTGGTACCAAGATATCCCAGATTTCTTCTTAAGGAAGGAAAAAATAATAATAATTTCCTATTCAATTGCAAAAGAAACTGCACACGTTAATCTGATCGTTGTGTGGATGAGAAACTATTTCCGGTGACGCCATCTTCCTCTGTCAACTGATTTTATTATAAATGTCATGTCTGTGTGCTACATTCATGGCAACGCTTTCTTCTCCCTCCTTCTTTTAAGATCTTAATCTTAGTTTGTTGCTCTAACATTTTATTGGTTCAGAATACATGCTGTAAAAATCCGTGGCCATCAAATTTTCCCGTGGGCTAAAAATAACCCATTCCTGTCAGTTAGAATTAGCTGATAAAGCGTCTCAGAGACTGTTCTGAATAAGTTTGATAACTTCCTGTTTATGCAGCACTGACCCTTGTCTAATAAAGCTTGTTTGCCCTAGAATAAGAGGAGATTTTGCTGCATTCTGTTTCTTAATGGCCAATCCTGATTACTTTTGAAAGCCCTTAATACATTTCCCATATTAGACATGAACAGATGTCAGGTATGTTGCCAAGGGAAATTTCTTTTATGCAATCTTGGCTTGTTGTACAATAATAGCCCTTTCTCAACATGGGAAAAAATTACAGACCCAACTAATTTCCCTGACAGGGGAGAGTTACATATGTTTTCCACTTGTAGTTTTTACGACAAGTTTACAATTTTGCCAAACCTGGAACTAATTGGGATGGTTTCCAAAAGCAGCCCCATACACCCCCAAATGTGTAGAGCCATTTGCAAAGGCAGTCAATGGTGGTTTGCTCTTGTTTCCCCTCCATTTTGGCCAAAGAGAGGTGGATGGGGGCAAAGGGGGTGGGGGAGTTAGATTGCAAAATTATTTCATTTAAGTTGCTTAAACACTTACTGTTTCATATCCTCCCAGTTTTTGAGCAGCTTGAAACATAGTCCAAAGGTTAACTGTTAGAGGGACAATAAGTATTTAGATAAGCATTGCATTAACATATTTCCAAGAAATGTCAATTAAAACATTTTGTTCTGTATTTCAATGTGAAAGAGAAAAGAAAAAAAAAGAAATAATAACATACCCCAGAGAGATGAATTCTTAGGAAACAATTTGCCATGGGCATTCAACAACAGGATTTATTCTTACCATTTAAAATATTTCTTAAGAAATAGTCATAAAACTATGGAAATAGTTCTACTTTTAGATAAAGGACAGCATAGTTTTATTCCTGTTGTCATCGGAACAAGAAAAGCTAAATTAGACTGACCTTGGGAAAAGGTGTGGGAATTAAGAGTTGGTCTTGTTCAGCCCTTAGAAAGAAGCCATTGATTAATGTTTCCCTCAGATAAAACCTCTCTATAATCAATATCTACCAGGCACTTTAAAATATGATTACCTTCTTAATAGGCTATCTGATGGCAACATAGTATGAAAGGCTCAAGCCATATTTCATGGTGCCTTGCAATGAGTGGGAAAACATGTGCTGTATGTGCCAGTTAGCAAATTCATAAAAAGAAGACTTCATCGACAAAGAAGTGGAGACACAAGCCCACTTCGTTCCCTTACTTGCCTGTGTGATACTGCAAATATACATTTACTTATCTCTTATAGGGTTCAGCTTTTAAACAACTATGCCCAACTGACAGCAACCTTGTTCATTTGTAGGAAGTACCATGGAATGTAACTGCAATGAATTTGATTCTTTTAAAAGAGAGGATAATTGAAATTCAAGTAATTCCTTGGTAAATGGAAATGAATAAAATGAAAAAAAAAATTTTAAAAGGCTCTTTGACACAACATGTTCGCAAAGCCTCATTGAACCTTGCACTATTTCAAAGCTATCAAGAGCCCTGCCTCAGCCTTGATTTAATCTGAACCAATGCATAATGCAACAAAGCTGTTCATAGTACATTAATTTTACTTCTATTTCAAGCAACCAGTTTTCAGACAAACATTGTAATCATTCGTAGTTATATAAGTTTATAATGGCTGCAAGTGTTCTCTTGCAATCAGTGCCAATTGCTATTAGGTATGTAAATTGTTATGTAAAACATACAGGTTTGACATTCTTCATCAAAATGACACATGGTTTTAATCTAGGAAGATGCATTTGGAGAAAATACTATTTCAAGCCAGAGGCTCATCGTTTTGTGCATCACTAAATCCAGACAGAGGCAAAATATATATTCTGTTGTGAACTCAGGGCAGGATCTGAGATTCTTCTTTTATTTGATATAAAAGAAGACTGATACTTAAATATAGAAGCTCAAAAATGTCCAAAACTGGGACTTCTGTTCAGATAAATGTATTTCTTGTTTTCTTCTGAGTTCAGATTTTTGTTATCTTTTAACAAATTTTGGGCTTAGGAAATGTGTGGGTTTTTTGTTGTTTTTTCCCCCCGGTGTGGTTGTTTTGTCCACTTTTAATGGCTTCCTTTTAAAAGCTGTCTTTTCTCTGGGAACATCTGTGCTTGATAAGGCTATGTCATATTATTATCTCCCAAGAAAGGCGTTACAGACACTCAGGATTGACAAAACAGAAAATGAGAAACTTTCAACATGTCTATTTCCAGTCATAATGACTGGTGGATTCAAGCCTATAAATATCTCACTGCAACTGTCCCAGAAGGGAACAATGTAGCGGAAAGAGGCAGGGAAAAATTCTTGGCTTGGACAGTTTGTCGATTTCATACAAACAGAAAACACCCACCCCAGATTAGGATTTCAACATCATCCCTAGTCAGAGAAAAAAAAAACAACAAAACAAAAAACCCCCATGAATCTCCAATTCAAAGAATTTGAGCAATTTTGATATTTCAGAAATAAAAATAAGCATACTTACTCTGTTTAAAACCTAAATAGGGTATTCTTTCTATGGGTGTTTTCCTTTCTTTCATGTATTTATAAAGTGCCACCAGGAAGGCCTGTTCATCTGCCCTGCACTCTTCACCAATGGCCAGCTTTGGTTTTTCTTCATTGGAGACTTTTTTACAGTTATTATGGTTATTCTTCGGCTTGGTCAAGGCTGACCTGGCCTCACATTTTACCTGGAAATGGAAAATATGCCATATCAAATCAGGCCCACTCATGGAAGTCTTACAAAGACATAGTTGGTGGCACTTCCCATTGAGTGGCAAGAATAAGCCAGTCAGTTCTCCTTAGCCAGAGACAACTTTTTAGAACCATCGCCGATTCTGAATGGTCCTTGGCTAGTGAATGGCAAACTTCTACAAAGGACCCCAGGGTAAATACCACAGGTAGGCTTTCAGACCTTTATAGTCTCTACTCCATTACTCAACTCTGGCATGAGAGCACTATGTAAATACATGGATGCAGCTATATTCCCATAAAACTTTATTGACAGAAACAGTTGGACCATAGTTTGTCCCACTATGCCAGCTTCTTTTATAGTCCTCACAAGTATGTCCATGTGAAACCAGAAATAGTGTATCCATCTGGTAGGCACATTGTTCTGTGCTTTATACATTTTATTTTCCTACAAGCAGTATCAGTTGCCGTCCTTGAACAAACCACACCTTCTCAATAACAACCAGTTCCCTACTGTACACTGTGTATCAAAATGAAAGGCAAGTTTATTTCTTCATAGTAAACTTATCTTGTTGTTATACTTGCCAGCAACCTGGAAATGCATGTGAATGCCAGAAGACACTGGCACCAGGAATACCAGCAAGGTCTCTGCTATCAGTCATTGAGGGTAATGCCTGGATAGGCCCTCAGCTAGGAAACCAAACAGCCAACTCTGTGTGTGTGTGTGTGTGTGTGTGTGTATTGGGACTTAGGGCCTCCAAGCTCCTTTAGATTTTTTTTTTCTGCTCAAGGTTGGCACTCTACCACTTGAGCCACACTTCCTCCTCTGGCATTTTGCTAGCTAATTGGAAATAAGATTCTCTTAGGTTTGTCTGGCCAGGCTGGCTCCAAACCATGATCCTCAGATCTGTCTCCTGGGATTACAGTCATGAGCCACCAGTACCCAGCTATGAGCCCAGCTGTGAGCCATTGTGTTTTATTTTTTGTTTTTTTGTGTTTTTTTGTCAGTCATGGGGTTTGGACTCTGTGCCTGGGTGCTGTCCCTGAGCTCTTCAGCTCAAGGTGAGCGCTCTACCACTTCAGCCTCAGTGCCACTTCTGGTTTTCTAGTGGTTAATTGGAGATAAGAGTCTCATGGACATTCCTGCTCAGGCTGGTTTTGAACCACAACCCTCAGATCTCAGCCTTCTGAGTGGTTAGGATTTAGAGGCGTGGAGCCACTGGCACTGGGCTTCAATTTTTTTTTTTTAATGAGAATTTCTTGCATTTCTGCCAGCTCTGAGAATATAATAGATGTTCACTTGCTTCAAAAGAATGTGTAGAGGTCAGTTAAAAACCCAAGAAAAGTAAGTGAAAATCCCCATAATTAAGAAGTACATGGAAGCAAATTCTCCAGATGTTCTTCCTTTCTCACTTCAGGCAGATAAGGAACTGAGCATCATGAGCAGCTAACCTAATGTTCCCTCCTCACTGCCATGTTCTACAAGAGGCCTTTGATGGTTGTTAAATATAACGCTAAGTTGCTGAGCTATTTTAATTGTAAAAGGGGAAGTACAAAGGGTCAGACTTGGAGTTCAAGTGCACCCAGGGGGAATGTGTACATTCCAATATTCTTTACATCTCCATGTCTACCAATCGAGCAGGAAGAGGGCAAGTGCTGGAGAGATGTTATGAATAAAAATGTCCCACAGATTCTACCATGTTCTCCATTTCACATTTTCTGAATCCTTTTTCTTTCATTGCAGATCCCCCTTCCAAGCCCTGAGAACATAAAAGACTGCTTATTTATTAAAGGGAAGCATGTCCCCTGCAAGGGCTTCTTTATGGCTGATTCTCTCAAGTGAACACACTTGTTTAATATCTTTAGACTGGCCCTGGAAAAATAAAAGTTACTGGGAAACACAATCAGCAGGGCCTCTAGATAAGATTTCCATTTTTAAGGGGACTGGTAAAACAGAATTAAAATATTTTTTTCCATGTAGAATTTTTTTTTACTTACAATATTCTCAAACGTTAATACTTTGCGACTTTATATGAAGGTGAACAGCCTTATGGAACTTTGTTACCATCTTTCCTCACTGCCAAATTTTAGATGGTTGAGTCTACAGTTCTGATGAAATTCAAAACATAATGATGCTGTGAAATCCTAAAATCACTCAGTTTTAATCTGTCCTGTCTTGCAGTCTTTTAAAAGTGTGTAGTTAGTAGTCAGGCTCTACTGGAAACAGATATTATTTCATTTCATGTTCAGAATCCTAATGAAGGAGATTATTAGAGTCACAATGGAAATTTGTATACATTATGCAACCTGTAAATTAGGATGCACAATGCATACAAATTTATATGACAAGTTTATATCACATCTAGGATTGAACCTAGATCTCTTCATCCTAGAGCTTGTAGTTTTAAACACAACACTTCCTAACATTCTTAATAAAAATGTGAAGCTGGTAGTCAAGGCAAACTTTCCATTGAAAAGCATCTTTTAGGCATTACAAAACCTACCACTCTGAAGTGTGATTTATCAAATGGTACATACAAATCTAGGTGGTTTCCCAACTAGAGAAGAGCTTCAGTGTTTCTATTGTACATTGAGCCAAGCAAGGGAGAGAAACTGATAGCAACCGAGAACCAATGAGGAGCTAAACGCTCCGCTGCGAACCTCCTATGTCCTCATGTGAGGTCTTGTAAGAGTTGTAAAAGGAAGGTATTTTGTCCTATATTTCAGTGGAGGAAACAGAAGTCTGTTGACATCATGTATCTGGTCGTATGGCCAGTGAGGGATAAGTATAGGAGTCTGGAGCTCAGCTCTGCCTCTCTTACTCCAAACCCCAATCTCCCATATCAGGGGTGGAGCTATGGAAGGGCTTTATCTTAAATAGGCTAAGGCTTATTTTTTGCAGTAGTGATGGACCCAATTATCTCTATCACTAGGTCAGATGCACCACTGTAACAGAGTATAAAGTTTCCTCTTCAATATCTAAATAGTAGCTTAATCCTCTGTCTCATCTGTATAGATGCACCCAAAAACAGAAGGAAAAACACATGGGGATGCACAAAACCAAGACCAAATAATTCTGGCACCACCTTCATGGCAAAGGCCCCAAGGAAACCAAGACTGTTGCCTTCACCCACTACTGAACTCCATCCTGGAACTCAGCATTTTTCCCAGCAGGTACTCCCAGGGAGGCCAAGGGCTGAGTAAGAAAGCGAAAGGTGAGCAGTAGCTCCCTGTCTCAGACTACTTTGATGCCTTTGTTTAAATATCAGTGTTAATATCAGTGCTGTTATTATCAGTGCTCCTGATTTGGAAGAACTGAGTCAAGTTCTTCTCTACTTTTTTCCCACATTTACCCAAAACACTTCAGTGTTTTAATCTACTGAACTATTATAGTACAGGTGTTATAAAGAAATTAAGTCCCATGTTTTCTTGTTGCCCTTGAGAAAGTCTCATCTTTTGATGGCGACAGTTAATTACTAGTTCTGTGTCTCCTGATCTGAACACCATATACCTGTTGCGTTTACTAAGAGCATTGGGGTTTCCCAAGTGTATGAGGAAGTGCTAATTAGGGACTCAACACTTGATGTTTTCAATGAACCAGCACCTTATTTGCTATTAACCACATCCTTCCATGGGATTGAGCTGTAACTAATCTAACCTTCAACTGGGGTGGACAGATGCACTGAACCAGCAATAAACAAGTTAGGGCTCTAAGCGTAGTTTGGTTGCTTGGTCAAGCAAGAAGGGAACACCCTGGAGATAATCCTGAGGAGCAAAATGAGTTGAAAGATATCGAAAAATCATGACATTATCACATGTGTGAAATATCAGTTTGTGATTTAAATGGAAGAACATATTGCACACTGTAGTTTCCTCTTAGCATATAAACCACCTGTTATATAATTCTGGTCTTTGAAAAATGCTTACAGGATAAAGGAGAAATCATTTGCCTTCTACCAATTAAAGCCGTTGACGAGAGACCTAAGCTAAGGAGATGCCTTAGTTCACCCTATAATCAAACCTGGCCTGCACATTTGCCATTTTAAGATGGTCCCAGGAAAATGGCAGGCTTTGCCAAACACATTCACCATGTCTTCAGGGTTAGTTCCTCATGTAATTTCAGTAGTTAGTTCCCCGTGTAATTTCTGCTGTCTTTGGGAATCCATGGAATTCTCTCTCCCTGGGACAATGGAAGTGTTTGTTACAAAGTTGTTGTCATTGAGAGAGGGTGACCTTCGTTGGTACCAGACAAATTACAAGTCACAATACAACAAACCACGGTAGGTCCCACTTTAAGGTGCTTTGCGTGTGGAGCACAGGAGGCTGGTATTTATCTACAGGTTTCTTTTTGAAGAAAACCAATCACACAGGTCCTAATGTTAAACAGCTCCCTGTTGACACCTAAAATGTTGCTTCTAGTTCAGCAAATGATGGAAGACCACAGGCTTATAACCACTACTGCCTCATATGAGGGAAAAAGATCACTTTAAGATACAAAGGCCTTCTTAATGGCTGTCCTTTTCAGAGATGTGGCTTCTTCAATTCTGTAGGGTTTTGCAGACAGGTGCCAACAGATAAGCTCGACATACATCAAACCCAGCCATCTTTAGCAGCTGGTTGAAGAGGTTTTCCCAGACAGGTGTCCACAGTAGGACTATAATCCAAGACCCAAAACAGAGTCCAACCAGCAGATCAGTCCCCAGGCGTGAATGGCAGCATGTCACTCAAGCATTCACCATTGGATATGAGCAGGATGGTCCTGTCTCCTTGTGAAAAGTCTGAATGGCAGCAACAGGTGTAATGTGGCTAGACTTCCATCTCTGTAAGGGCATCAGTGAGTGGGTATACAATATGGCCGAGCTGCAGAACAGACTTCAGTTTCTCCAGTGCTGTGAGCCCAGTGTGAGTCTGGAGCTGATTTCCATGAAGAGAAACATCGGTCATGTTCTTTGACATGAGTTGTCTGAGTTTTACAAAATTCCCAGATGCTTAAGTTAGTAGTGATTTCCAATGACAACTGGCAGGAGTATTGTCTTGCTGGGCTAAGGCACAGAATATGGTGGAATACACAGATGTCACCCTAGATGTATATATTCGCACTGCTGCAGACATGCTATGTAGAGCACAGTCTCTGTTGAATGTGGCAGTCCTAAAACCTTCCGGTTCCATTTGTAGTATTTACTGACGTCACAGTAGAGGAACTATTCCTACTCATATCCTTGCATACTATGGAAAGTGAAGCTCTAGGTAGGTGGTTCTAGATGAGCTGAAGAGGTCCAGCTCACAGGAACATGTCCTTAACAGTACCCATGTACATTCCTTCATAGAACATGGAATGAGCAGAACTTCAGAGAAGGAGAGGTGAGTTTTTGGCTATAAAATGGAAAGCACACATTTCTCCTCACTGGTCACTTTTAAACCCTTTAGAATCTTGGAGACAAAAAGAAATCCTAACCAAAACTATCCTTTGAACTTCTTGACGAAACAGTAATACTTGAAGATAAGATTTATAAAATGTAAATGCCTAGGATTATGCCACAAAGTGAGATTGGAATTCATGAAAGACAAACAGTAGACTATGGATGCAGAATTGACTTTTCTTTCTCTATCAGAATCTTCTAAATGCAGCTATAATAGCAAGGCTCCCATCACCAGAATTTTAGCTCTTGGATCCAACTTTTTTTGGGGGGGGGTCCGGTCGTGGGGCCTGAACTCTGGGCCTGGGCGCTGTCCCTCAGCTCTTCACCTCAAGGCTAGCACTCTACCACTTGAGCCACAGCGCCACTTCTGGCTTTTTTTTTCCTGCTTATGTGGTGCTGAGGAATCGAACCCAGGGCCTCATGCATGCAAAGCAAGCACTCTACCACTGAGCTACCTTACCAGCCCTTGAATCTAACTTCTGTGGGTATCAATTCAAATCTGGTCTTGACTCTGCTCCTGAATGGACTACTGTTGTCTTTGGCTCAGAAACAACACCAACACACAAACACTCAGTAACCAGAATGTAGAAATTTGACCCAAGTCTACAAAAGTCAAAAAGATAACTCTAGAAACATAGTGTTACATCACCTTTTATAGTACTAAATACATTAGAGTTATACTTCAAACATTTTTAAAAAATTGCTTAGGTCACATGGGCCTGGGCCAAAAGTAGTCTAGAATTAAAGCTTTCATTTGTCACTAATAATGATCTTTTAAAACATAAGTGTAATATAAGTACATGTATACTTATAAACATTTTAAATGTATCTTTAATTTTACTCTAATATGGATTAAAAGTGACTTTGAAAAAGTACATAACTAAAGGCGAATTCATTCTATCCATTTCTAATTTCACCCTCTGTTAATCTCTAAAATATATTTAGATGAACACATTCAGAAAGAGTATGGCTCAGCTGGTCTATTTTTGATAGGAGCAGAGTAAACTATGTCATTGTGTCACCAACTATGAAATCCCAGCCTCAATGACGTGGGCACTTAATCATCTGTCCTTTACCCAACAAGCCAAACTGGGGAGGTGGGAAGTTCTTTCTGTTGACTAAGCAGAATGCCTGCCTGCTACCACTCCCCTCTCCCTCCGCCCTTCTCCCCCCCCCCCCCCAGCCATGGGGGAGGAGGGGTGGCAGGAACAGACATGGCACACCACTTCAAAGGCTCTGAATTCCAGAGTCAGATATTGAACTGAAAACTGCCACCGGGATACAAGAACAGAGAGATAAAGAGGAAATAATATCATGCGGTGAATGATTGTACCTTGGCAACAGCTTTACCATCGGAATTATTGTTGGAATCCTTAGCTCCACTGAATGAGTCTCTTCTTTGGGGGCAAGGTTTCTTTTTGCGTGGTCTGCCTTTAAGGTTTGGCGCTGAAAACAAATGGAGAAGAATTGATAGGCATTTCCAATTGCATGAGTCTCCTTAAGTAAAACCCCAGAATCTTACCACCGTGGTTTCCTCTAATTGTTCAGAGAAATGCGCAGATTAGCTTCCCACTGTCCTTAGATGCTTTTTTCTCTCATTCAGTGGCACCTTGGCAGATTCATATTTTCTATACAACTTTCCCAAAGCTAGGCTATCACACTGTATCAAATCTAGTTATTGCAAATAAAATATACCTAAAGAATAATGATAAGCAAAACATTCCTCCTCGCTGTTAGAAAAGACACATGTTCAGCTGAAAGACAACTCTAAACCAGGTTTCCAGATCATTCTCTATTATTTTATTTTGTATCTTGTTTTCACAAACCTAAGTTGAAGCCAGCACTTTCTGGTATCATAGCAATGTAACATTTGAAAACATCTCCCTTCCAAAAAGGTTTGGAGACATGAACATCTTCTCAAATTATCAAGATATTAAAGAGAGAGAAAGCTATCAGCAGAGGCATTTGCAGTTACAAGCTGCAAAGTATTATTACATCTATTTCCTAATAATATTGTGACCGGCATGTTTCACATCTCAACAAATCTGGCAGATGCATTTAAGTCAGTTCTCTTTTCCTTCTCAATATATTTTGATAAAGATCTGGAGGGTTATTATTTTAAAATAAATCCAAAAGATTACTCTGAGTTTATCGTGATTCCATTGGGGGGTGAGCTGGAAGGGAAGGTAACTTTTTTTTCTTTAAAGCCACAGTTACAAATGATACAAATCAAAGCTCTTATTTCATACATGATGTTCCACTCAGTTCCTTTTAAGATCTGGACAGAAAGGCAAAGGCAAAGACTGCTGTTTATTGAGTGTTGTGACTGTCCGGCTCAGCTTTTGCATTCAACCTCATCAGTCACTCAAGTCCAGTAAAATTAAAACCAGCCATCAACCAAGCAGCCCTTAACAATTCCAAACCAATGACTCCTCTTCCCCACAAGCCCTTCCAGACCTTTCAAGGTGCCCTCCTTTTTTTCATTACTTTTAAGAGATGATTATGAAAAAATCAAATCTGAACAAGGCAAACACTCTTAATGGTTGCTAATCTTAACTCATGACACACTGTTTTAACCGATGGTTTTAGGACATCTTACATTGGACTCCTTTTAAAGACACAATTAATCCTACTCATTTGATTTTGTGCCAGGGATAAGAGTTTTGCTGTGGGGGTGGGGAGGAAAGAGGGGGGGAGGGAGAGGGAGAGAGGGGGGTGAGCTGCCTTTACAGCTCGAGAGGCAAAAAGAAGAAAAAGTTGAAAAAGCAGCTGGCCAGGGGAGAGGAGAGACTCAAGCTCGCCTTCCCCAAGGCCACGGCCATCATTTCATTCCTCCAAACACAGGATTTAAAGTCCATCCCAGAAAAGCCAGTCTGATATTAAGCAAAGGTAAACAAGCTCACAAACAAAACTCAAGCAAAGAGAAAGTAGCCATTACCCATTCCAGTCGACAAACATCTGCCTGATTGATGTCTACGCTTATGAAAGCTACAGCATGTGACTGCTCTCCGGCCACATCCCTGGAAGTCCGGATTCGGTGTGGATGTCAGCTTCCCTCCCAATCCAGCGAATGCGAGCTGCAAGACTCAGCGCTCGGCTTACAACTCCCCTCCCCCGCAGCTCCATTACTCATGTAAACACACGGCAGTGACTAGCACCCGTGTGGGATGAGCTAGCTCTGAGCACTTTGCAGGAGCTGCCAGACTGGCAGGGCTCAGCTGTCCCCCCCCCTCCCTTGCACAGGGCTGGTGATTTCATCCGGCCTGTTTAGTGGATCCTGACCTCTTGCTCCTCCATCTGAACGTGAGGGCCAGCGTTCCATGAATCTGACACGGTCCCCAGCCTGGAGCCAGGGCGGGGACTTGGGTTGTTTAGAAGACTTTGTGTAGCACAGAAGTGTTTCCACAAGTGACCCAAGCGCTAAGACTTTAATGACCCGTGTGGGAAGGATGGACTTTCATGTCCCTTATCAAAATAAAAGCCAAAGCAGAAAGCTGACAGAAACACACAGAACTTGGGAGAGGTAGGTCTGAGACATTTCCTTGCAAGAGGTACCACAAGCTGGACTCTGTTTCAAGACCCATCACTCTGATCCTTCCCTCCCAGCATTTGGGTGAAAAAGCACTTACATCCAAAAGGCATTTATTTCCAGAAAAGCTTCCAAATACCCAAAGACCTTCACAGAAGACAGACCTCACACCGAACATACTGTTTTAAATACGAAGGCAGAGGTTTCAGCCACGAACAAGTAATCTGCAAACTGGGTGGATTTTCGCTATTCTTTAAGCACTTTTCAAAACCTAGAGAAGCACAGGTCCTTACCCAGCAGATTCTGAGAATTACAAATTTAGAATCGATTTGCACCTATTATTCTGGTCATATAACTCTAAACGAGATTTGGTGAAAGAAAGCCTTTGCTTCCCTATAGGAGAAGCACATAGATATTTCAGGTGTGGCTATGTAAATCCTACCAATTGCTTGTTCAAGGCTCAATTCAGATCACATGCTTAGTCTGCTCTCAGAACTGCTTTTTCTGTCCTCCACCCCCACTGCCCACTCCCCAGTATTAAGGATGGGACCCAGGTTTGAACATGCTAGACAAGCGCTTTACCACTTGAGCCTGGCCCCCAGCTCTTTTGTTTATGTGTTTTGTTTCTGAGAGAAGGTTTTTTACTAACTACTGCCCAGGCTGGTCTAGAACTTGTGATCTTCCTCTGCCATCTAAGTAGCTGGGATTACAGGGATGTGCCACTGTACCCAACTTCTTCTGTGATTCTCTTAAGGACCAATATTTCTTGCACTTGAAATGTGGCTTTTTTTTCTTATTATTATTTGGATTGGACAGCTCTTCAGGGCAGGGCCATAATGATTCATCTTTCTTCTGCCCCAGCACAGCACTCAGGAGGCAGTATTGGGTAACATGAATTTATTGAATGAACAGTGACTAATGGAAACAAAGATGCCCACGTATTCTTTGCATCCTCTTGAGTGGGGCCTGCCAACTTAACCATGTGGTATAATTATCATCCTGGGCACCTGTAAAACTGCCTTCTCTTTCACAACTTACTTGTGTGCTCTGGGAACACAAGCTGGTGACCTGAGGAGGTACTGAGGATCGAGATTGGCAGCCTAAGGCCTTTGATTCTTGATTACCATTCAGCCATTGCTTTTGGTATTATGATAGGACATTAACTTTGTCCCCCATGCACTGCACAGATTCCCCGAAGTGCACCCCATTGTTCAGTGTTCCAGGGGCCATTGGTTCATAACACTCCATGTAAAGTTTGGGGATCGATAGACTGGCTTTAGGAGATAGTAAAAATGCAGGTTCCCAGGCCATATCTGTTTTCCTACATGGCAGGAAAAATAATCATTTACTACAAATGAGTGGACTGCGGTGTGCTGGTGGTAGTCAGGGGTAGGGAAGGCCCCGGGGTTTTAATGCATTGGTACAATAGCTTCACACCGTCATGGACTTAGTCCTGTTTTCTTCTCAAAAACCAAAGGCTGTACATGGAGAAAACCCAAATCTGTACTCCAGATTAGAGCATCTGGGGTCCACTCATAGGACTGATCCCTCCTGACAAAGCTCTGCTCAGAGGCCAGAGGTACACTCATTGAGGCATTCCCACTCCAGCCACTTCTACTTCAAGCAGTCCGTGCACAGTTACTTTTACACACATCTGTGTGTATAATGTATATAGAATGTACCTATATTCACATACATTTAGACAAATACAATCTCTCACTGCCCAGCCTTGGCAGGGCTCATCAGAGTTCTATAGGCTCTCATTCTATTAACATTTTTAGAACAACACTTGCATAGCAATAGCAGCTAATATTGATTAGGTGCTTTCTCTGGGCCTGTCCATTATTCTGAGGGCTTTGCCTTACAAGATAACTCACGTAAAATTCACTACCTACCAATGAGATAGCACCATTTTTTCTATCCGTTCAACAGAAGTAGAAGATGAAATGACAGATCTCAGATCATAAAATTGGTCATTTTGAGCAGGATTGCAACACAGGCAACCGGGAATTTATCCAGAGCCCCTGCTTTAACCAATACTCTAATATTCCCTCTTTGCCTCACAATGAAGGATTCATATTAATTCAGATTGCCAGGCATCAGGGAGCTTTCTCCAACTGAAAATACTTTCAAACATCACATAGTGCTTAGCCTAGCAAGCATTCAGCATCCCACAAACCTGACAAAGAGGAGAGTCCCATTTAGTCCTAACTTAGCCGAAGGTGACAGAAACTCCACTAAAGCCACTAGGGCCAATAAAACTTCCCCTATGCACATGCAGATTATCCCTCTCCAGTGGCCTCCCTCTGTCTCTTCTGTCTAATCAGTGAACCCTCTCTGTGGTTTTGGAGACATTTTTTTCCTCTGACTGACCATCTGTTCCTCTTACTCTGTGCCAAGAAATTACCAAGTATCCACCTTTGTGAAGTTACTGCTATTTCTACATGTGCTGATCCCTAGAGGAGCAAGAGACCTCGTGTTCCTGGCTGCTCTGACATCTAATCCATGTTTGTGCTATTATTCCACCCCCCCTTCTCTTTTTTATTAACTCTTTCAAATATTAATGAATCACAGTCTGTTTTCTTGACAACACAGCAAAACAGTTTGTTGTCACTGTTTAGTCTTTAAGGGTCTATTAAGCTCAAACACACAGGCATCTATATGGGTTTGCACAAGTTGTGTCCCAGCAGTGCAGGTGTGGGAAATTTCATCTTAACCTTAACTCTTGCAATCATATGAATAATAATAAAAAAACAATGGAAATGTAACCAGTTACTGGCAAAGTAAATTGTTTTTGGCTGAAATGCTCCTGTTTTTTTTTTTTTTCCTACTGTGTTCTTCCTGTCATGACTCTCAAAACTCTCTCCCTCTCTTTCTCCCCCTCCCCCCTCACTTTTAAAATAGCATTTATACTCTT